CTGAGTTGCGGGGAAGCGAGAGGTTGAAAAAAGGAGTTGTCAGGGCGTAGAAAATGTCTTGGAAAATGACAACACTAGGTAGATATGTTTTAAATTGAAATAAAAACGATTAAAAATGAATTGAAGGAATTACAGACTTTATCACTTTTGAGAAAATAGCTACTAAGATGGGATTGTGTTCACGGATAAAAATAGTTGTTGTAATAATAATGAAAATAAAAACGATTCAAAATGAAGTTTGGAACTTTAAATCTTATTTTCAGGTACAAAAAATGCAGGGTTAAAAAATAATGGAATTACCCGCTACAAATCACCAAATTAGAAGTATGGCGATTCTTCATAAAGACATTCTCTACACTTTTATTAGCTTGATAATTTGTGATCGACAGGCCAAACAGTAATAACAGACTTTACTAGTATTATGATAGGAATATAATTATTTTTATATACTACATTAAAGGATAATTTAGACAAATGTATAAAACGCCATCGACCTAAAACACCGTAAATATGTTACTGCCGGATAAAGAGTAATCTCCCCTCCCTAAGGCAAAATAAAAAATCTTAAGGCGAAACATGTAGAACTTTCTGTATTGTGCTATAAAGAAATCTGAAGGCCCACGAGCAATTATTAACTAACGTTACGCTGATCCATCGTCTATTAATCGAAAATGATACGTTATACGCCATTATTAACCGATTTTTGCCTGGGACAGAATTGTGTGTCTAAATCCATAGTCTACAAAAGATACGCTTTTTCACCTCTTTTTAGCCTCTTGCGAGATACACCTATTCTCGGTATGCCACTTAGCAACACGGGTGCCCAGAAACGTGCAATATCTCAAAATCTATGTGAATTCAGATGTCTATTTCGAACTGTGTGCATTATATTACAACTAATACGTATCAAGGGTGTATGACTTTCTGTTAGCTAATAAACGGTAATGAGCATTAGAATATTTTATTCTTAATAACGTTGGATTTATTAAATTATTTGACGATTCAAAAATTCCTTCATTATAGACAGTGTTTGTTATTACAATTGTATTTTAAGCAAGTCACGTCTCTAAATTACATTGTATTACATTTCCATAAATACATTCTGTTGCCAGCATCAGGTTATTAAAATATTAAGTTAACATGGATATAATTCATTCACAATTGAGAAGATATGTTTTAACACTATAAAAACTTTTTTATTTATATACATCACTATATACAAGGAAGTAAAGTTATACATTTTTCTTTTTTGAAAAACCAATTGAGAACCTTCTGACGAGTAATTTGTAAAAGACTCTGCCGTTCTAATTATTCTATAGCAAAGAAACAAATTCTGTTTCTGTACGAAAAAAGTTGCAACAGAACGTCTAAACGTAATTAGATTGTAATAAAATTAGAAACAATAGTAAAACAGTGTATGTTTTTGTGTTTTTACTAATTCTATGTTCTACTTTATTTTTAATATCCTGATGATAGGAACAGAATATGTTAACAGAAACTTTGTAATATGTAATATGTAAGTAGAAATGTGACTTGTTTACAATACAGCTGTAATAACAAACACTGCATATACTAAAGGGATATTTTAATCGTCAAATAATTGGAATGTTTCCTCACGCACAGAATGTGCCTATACAAAACCGCAGTTCAGCGCCCGACCGTTCCACATAGAGTTCCAGTATGACGCTATTTTCAATTTGAAAACGATTAGATACAAAACCTAAAATGATCGCGCGGGGCCAGATACTGATACTAGCGTTGCAATGCGAAGAGTAAACAACAATAATGAATAGTTTTTAACTGAATGGACGTGCGCAATCATTCCGCACTATGTGAATCATTATTACTTTAAAAGTGAAAATAACTGCACGCTGAAATCCTCGAATGTATCTGACAACACATACTATGAAGTGGGAGTACCGTCAGAAATATAATACAAAGTACGTTCATCGTACAGAATATAAAAGTTCATTGTATAGATTCGGGATAAGAAATATAACTTGTGTATATTTAGGGAGACATATTTTAAAGGCCTAAAACGTGTCGTCTCCGCGTTATCCGGGATGGTAAAGTTGTTGAAGCATAATATGTCTAGCGGATTGCATGTGTACCTCTTTTCCCCCTGTGAGTATGCCACACTCTGCAAACTGCTTTTATTTCCAGCCAAATTCTCGTTAATTCAAGACTGGAGTATGAAGAGATAACTACAAGAAGGTACTTTGACAGCTACTTCTTGGGCATTGTTGGCAATATAACTGCAGTTTACGTTCATGCAATCATTTTGTGAGTGCATTCATTAACAATTACCATATCCCTAAATGTCTTCATATCTATCTATTGCGAGGTCATCGCCCTGCATAACGTTCACCTGTAAAGTGGTCCCATCTTAGAGTAATTCCTATATATCTATCTATGGTTTCTTATGAGTGATAGACAATTATCAAAT